TTCTTCCTGTAAAAGAGCCATATTTTCTTTTATGTGTTTTGTAGTTTTTTTGAGAACTAGACATTCTGAAAATTGAAATGTGATTAAATCTGGAAATCAGATTCTCCCCACTCAGTGATTGGTTTTGTTACTTGTTGAGGGTTGCAGTTGTCCATTTGTACGGTGACTTCTCCAGAAACAGCAGTATTCCTTGTGTGTGTGATCACTGAAGCTTCAACTCTGTTGTCTGTTCAGTCAGCCTATGACCTGACAGAGGTTTTGCTTAAATGTCATGTCTTTTTTTGTTTTCTTAAGTGTGCATGTCTCTATCTTTTGGTGGATGCTGGCAAGGAAGTTGCTGAGGCCTGAGGGAGTCAAAGCAGGGCCACATCCAGGCAAGCGTCTGTGCTGGTCCTTGGGAACCACCAGACAACCAGATACGCAGCTCCAAAGATCTGGGCCCTCCAGGAACACTGATTGCTCAGATGGCATGACAGGAAGAAGCAGGGAGGTCACATGTGAATTCCTAGCCTTTGCCAAACAGCTGTGTCTTTTCCATCGTCAGGCACTTGTCTGATTGCTGTGAAGTAGCTTAACAGCTTCCAGAGTTCCAAAGTAGTTGGTTCTGATAGTGTTTTCATCCTTAAGGTTGTTTTGGTGAAAGCACAACTCCTAAAGCTTCATCATCTGCCATTTTCTGTGACATCACTCCTGTCTTAAAATGATAGCTAGATCTTTTGTTACTACTGTGATAAATGTTGAGAGTCATATAAAATTGTCTACAGTACTTATCACAAGTAATTAAAACATTCCAAGATCATAATAGTATTTTAGCTAACAAACTCAACAGGCTAATAAGCACATTTTGAGACACTTAAAAGAAATTGAGTGGACTTTGGTGCTAAATTGTAACTTTTTTCTATAAAATAAATGTGATTCATTATTCTCTATAATGTCTACATCCTTGTGGGTATGTGTAGAGAAAATGAAAGCTCCTATGGCCAGGATTCTCACCTGACCCTGGTCAACTTGCTCACAGCACACATGTAGGCAATACATTGTTAATGACTATATATAAAGAGGTCTGCCCTGTACGCTGGGCTGCACGGCCGCAGGATAGCAGAGGTGGGAGTGGTGGCAGCACTGAGGACAAAGACTGAAATGGCTGCGTGGGTGGAGAGGCCCGGAGGCAGAGAACTGCTTGCTGCGTGCAGACTTGCCCTGAAGTGGACAAGATTCTAGTGCTTGACCTGCCACCATGAGAATAAAGCTGGATATAAACCCTTTCAGTCAAGAATATTCCATTGTCATTTTTTTGGTCTCACCAAATCAAGAATGAACTTGCTGAGGCTGAAACCCACTGAGGAGACAGTAGGGGATGAGTATGAGTTTTACCTGCTTTTTCCATACTAACTTAATGACATGTCCTTTAGCTGTTGGTAAATGTTATAGGCTTTCTTGGTCTGCTTTCATTCAGTCGTTTTAGCCCCAATTGCTAAAATGATTTTTCATACAGGGACAGGATTGGAAGCTGAATCCATCTGAAATAAACAGTTGATTTGCCAGTAATATTACATCATAGCTAAATAACTATCTTGTAAGAACATCTGGTTTCATCCATGGGAGAGCTGATTGAAATGATAAGCCACATTTGTTGGGGTCAAGAAAGAAAAGTTAAAAGGCATTGCACACTGGCAAATGATTTATTTTGTGAAAGATATTAACAAATTTTTGTCCTTAAGAAGCTTTTATTTTTAATGGCTTATACAAAAAATTTTGCTTAACCTTTAACCTTTTTTTGTTACCTCTTCACTGAGATTGGCAAAAGAATCTTGCTATGATTCATAGGTGAAAACTATATTATCAGAGAACAACTCATAGTCATTCTAATAAAGAGATAGGATTATATGCTTCATTTGTTGAAATCCTTTCTTTCAGCTCTCTTCCTGACTTCAGTCAGCAAATTATCCTTCTTTGTCTGAAAAATACTGTACTCCAAAACAGTTATCCACAACATCACTAACAAGGAAGATATACAGAAATGAGTTTTGCAGGCACCTGAATTATACTCTTAAACACCAAAATTTTTATCTTAATGTAAAATGTATCCTATATATTTCCACCTTCTTTAGGTAAAATGTAGTAACTAAGGCAGAAAAAATGTATAATAAATAAGGCAGACAAACAAAAGCTGTTGTTTAAGTTCCCCACATGCTGACTGCCTAAGTTTGTACAGATGAATCTGGGCACAGAGTGATGCATCCAGCCCCCATTCTCTGACTCAGCTCATCACAGTGAATGTCAGTTTACTGCAGTAATGCACTTATAGACCATGAATTGCCTACTGCTACTTAGATTCAAATAGTGTATTTTTGAGTTTTCATTTTTCTTTTTTAATGTCTTTTCTACCTATTCTTTGTTAGTCATGCAATGTGCCTATTTTTATGCCTCCCCTCTCTTACCTGAGGACAGGAAATAAAATGACAATCATTTAAAAGTATATAAGAATGAAGGTATTAATACTTGTTTTTGCATCTTTTTGCATTTATTTTGCCCACCAGACCAAAATATTTCATTTAGTTTCTTCACTGATGTCTTCATTGGTGCCATGGTGTGAGGCCTAGGGTTTCTGGAAAAGTGAACTCCTGATGTGAGCCCTCACCATACTGATAGTTCTTTAAGACATGAAGGCACAAGCTTTAAGAAGTTTGACTAAACTTTTTTTTCAGATCAGCAGCAGTTGAATACCAATGTTTAGTTTCAGAAAGTATCAAAGGCAATGTATAATGATACTGCCAAATGTTTTTCTGTTATTACCCAATTCCGTAATATCTCATAATGATGCATAGTTCCCTACAAAGGCATCCTTGTGAACTCTGAAGTGACCCTGCTGTATTCTTCAAAGGAAGATGAGAGTGTTATGGTCACCAGCTGCTGTCAGCACTGTCAGCCACCAGTTAGACCTGTGGTCCTATGTGAAATGTAGCCTTTCCTATGATAAGGACTTACTTTCCCTTGATAATCATGGGGGGAATGTTCTGTTAAGCAAAAGCAAAGTCACCTACTATATTCACTGTGATGCCTGGAGATTACTACTGCTTTGTTTTTGCTGTAGTTCTGTGCATATGCAAAACAAGATGTTTTAAGCTGAGTAATGTGTAGGAAGTTAGATTTTCTTTGTGACATACTTATTTTTTCATATAAAACCAAAAGCTATTTTACAAGTGTATTTCATTCACTATATCTTGAAATTTTATTTAAAGGATATTTTCATCAGCCAAACCTGAATTCTAAAATTGTCATTTTTGTGAATGAAACCATTTTTCAGAACTGTATTTGTAATAACAGGAAGTAAAGAATCGAAGGGGTCTTTAAATATTGGCAGTGGTGGCTGTTACTTGGGGGAAAAAAAACTAAATTTATAAAAAACACACATGTGTGTGGCTCTGGGTACCAGAGACAGGCCTGGGCTGGGCATACAGAACTGATGGACAGTTCCTACTTGAGTGAAGTCACATTTCTGGTTGTAGGGAGTGTCCTTCAAGCACTGAGCACTATGTAGGACCCAGCGGGCGGAGGTGCGCGCGATGTCTCGTCGCAAAGGAATCCACCTTGGCTGCCAAGGTGTTCTGGGCTGACCGGTGTTCCTTTGCTGAGTGACAGAATTTCTTGGAGCAAGGGTGCTTCCGTAAGAATTGTCAACCTTAAAAAAAAAAGCTGTCAGTTACTTTACCAACAGAAACAGGTTTATTCAGGAACGGCAAAGTATTGCAATCCTGGACAACGGCAAAACCACAGGCACTTCCAGCGAGCAGGAGAGGAGGTGCCTTTATATAAAGAAAGGGGGAGTAAGCAGAAAGCCCATCGCGGTAAAGCAGCCGAAATATTGTGGGTAGGAAGACGTCCTTCCCGCGCTTCCTGCCGTTCCTGTGATTGGCCAGGGCGGTGGGCGGGGCACTCCCCCTTCAGGCCTTACCCCCGCCGCCGCCGCCGCCCGAGGCTTCCCTTTACCAATTTTCGCCGAACAGATGTGTGAGATTTAGGATCCTTATTATCCCAATTTAGAAACAGGACTAAAGCTGAAATTAGATATTGAGATAGATGATTGTTTAAATAACAGAAATTAAGAAAGTCCTGCAAATACATTTGAGACTTTTTCAAAGATAATTCCAACTATATGCTCTGTATTTAAACTGTTGAACAAAACATTGGAAATGAGTTAATTTTATTTTTACCATCAGCTCTTTCTGCCTTCACCTCCCACCCTCAGTATATGATTTTATATTTGGCAACCACATTATCCTCATTATCATAAGATCATCAGAGCTTCTGATCGGCATAACGGCTCTCGATTCTGAGCTGGAGACAAGAACGGAAACTGGATCAGAGGCGCGGTTCTAATAGGATTCCTTTAGCGTCTGAATATTGAAAAGAGCCCCTTTTTGGGCGATTTAAAGAACTCAGTTTTGGAGGTGCTTTTTAGTCTTGGCCCATTTTAAATGTCACATGTCAGGTGTGTTCGCAGGTAGTGCGCGGTTCAAGGATAAAGTACTGGGCAAGCAAGCTGAGCCTGGATTTACCTCTGGTATCCTCCAGTGACTCCATTCTCTAGTGTCTTTATACTTGAAGTTTATGGGAGAAAAACGCTATGAATCTAAAATATAGCCAACATGGGTTTTGGGTTTTAAAAATTGAAAAAACGCACCATTTCAAAGTGATAAGCTTCCGTATAAATTATTCGAGGCAAAAGTGTTACCGATAGTTTGTAAGGGAAAAATAACAAAAATGTGCGCTTGGCTTGGTTGCTGTCCTATTGAGAGCCTCCTCAAAAAGTCGAGCAAAATCACACGAAAAACCCTGAGGCCGTTTTGCGGGCGCCGCGCCCCCAGCCTCAGGGCCAGCGCCGCCTCCCGCCGGCGGTCCGCCCAGGAACCTCTCCGCGCTCGGCTCGGCGCCGGTTCTAGTCGGTGTGGGGAGCTGCGCTCCGAATCGCCTGTTTTTTCTTAAAATGCAACTGCCCTTCTCTGATGAAACTTCACATTTTCTTGGAATAACTTTTACTAGGCACGTGCCTATAGTTCTCAGGAGTGCAGCCTAGGCCGGCTCTCCTGAGCGGGAAAGACCTCCGATCGCGGGCCCAGACTGCGGTGCGCGACGTCGCCGTTTCGCCGACGCCCGGGCCCCTCGCGTGAGCCCGGCCGCGTGGGCGGGGCCGCAGTGGGCGGTGCGGGCGGCGCGGCCCAGTTCTCGCGAGGCTTCGGCTTAGGCGGTAGGTGGCGGTGACTCCGCGGCGGCTCCGGAATGCGCTCGGAGAAGGCGAGGACCGGAGGCCCCGCGGCAGTCGTTGCGCGGGGCTCGAGCTGGAGGGGGAAGCCGTCGGCTGTAGAAATCCAGTTCCGTCGGGAGTCACCTCCTGCCTCGTCCTCCGTCTCTGGGGGCGGGGAAGGCAAACCTCGCGAGGAGAAAACGACGTTTCTGAGCAAGGTGGGGGCGGGGCAAGGGACGAGGGCAGGGTGAGGATGAGGCCGGGCAGCAAACCTCGCGAGAAGAAGGGGCGGTGTATTCAGCAAAGTGGAGGGGCGCGAGGACGGGGTGGCTCGGGCAAACCTCGCGAGAAGAAAAGGATGGTGCTGTGCAAGGTGAGGGCAGGGCGGGGCGGCTTCAGCACCGCTGACAGCGGCTGGCTCGTCGGGAATCGGCGCCTTCGGGTGCCATGTTTGTGGGCCTGGGAGGAAGAAAAGCCACTCCAGCCGTGGGAGTTTCGGTCGGGCTGTGACGCGGGCTCAGCGGCGCCAAGCGGAGGCTCTCCTCAGTGCCGAGGACCGCGGCCTGGGGCGCACGGGAGGGCCCGGCCCGGGGAAGGGCGGGCGCGCCGGGTGTGCCTGCCGCGGCAACAGGGGCGCCTCGGGTGCGTTTCTGCTGCGCTGCCCGGCCACCTGGCCTTCCAGTGTGGCTTAACCTGCGGGCAGCGCGAAGGGGAAGGCAGCGCGTGTGTTGCGTAGTTATCCGCTGGTAACACGGCGAGCACGCGGGACAGACGTGTTAGGCACAGCCGCTTCGACCCGCGGATCCCTTTTGAGTCATTCAGCGCCTTTTTTAAAAATTACTTTTTCTGCCTTTCATATTTCCAAAAAGGGCAAGTATCCGACCAAGCAGACTGTGATCTGTTTGAGGTCAGGACGTATATTTTGTTCATCTTTGAACATCCAGGACATAACATAGACATTGACATTTAGTGCTTAAAAATTTGTGAATCAATGTATGTATTTTACTTTTTATTTTATTTATTCATTTGTTTATTTAAGGTATTATTGATATACACTCTCATGAAGGTTTCACATGAAGACAGTATGGTTACTACATTTATCCATATTATAAAGTCCCCAGTCATACCCCATTGCAGTCACTGTCTGTCCATCAGTGTAGTGAGATGCCACAGATTCACTATTTGCCTTCTCTGAGCTACACTGCCTTCCCCGTGACCCCTCATACCGTGTGTACTAAACATAATATCCCTCAATCCCTTTCCCCCTCCCACACCCCTCCCCTTTGGTAACCGGTAGTCCCTTCTTGGGAGTCTGTCAGTCTGCTGCTGTTTTGTTCCTTCAGTTTTGCTTCATTCAGCGCTTTCGGACACAGCCTTGACCTTCCCTACCCTGTGTTTCCGCTGGACCCCTGGTTCAGATTGTCTCTGAGTATAAACAGATGGTCAAGCATTCAGGTTATTGGTGCTTAATACAGTGACAGGAGTCAGAACCCAGCCTGTGTCCTTTCCTCAGGTGGTCATCCGGCGGCTTCCTCCTAGCCTCACCAAGGAGCAGCTGGAAGAACAGCTGCACCCACTGCCGGCACATGATTATTTCGAGTTCTTTACTGCCGATCTCAGGTGAGAAGCTGTTTACCAGCATTCAGAAACAGAGGCGTTGGCATTGATGGAAATTAATTGTAGCTATCAGAAGCCATCTCCATTTCCGTTTTCTTTCCCACATGTAGTCAGAAGTCATTGCACACCTTTATTTCTTCAAGTTACTTGTAAGTCGGCAGATGGTTACAGTTCTCTGAAATAGATATGAAATATGCCTCTACTAGCACCACCATAGTCAAAAAAGAAAAACAGAAAACATATTACTTAGTATTCATAAGCCTTACTGCATGTAGCTTCTTGAAGTATTTATAATAAAAATGTAAGTTGTATTAATACATAACAAAGATGAATAAATAATAGATGTATAACCTGATGAATTTTCCCAAGTGAACATGCCCATGTAACTAACACCAGATGAAGAAATAGAATATTCCAGACCCCAGAAGCCCCCTGTGCTCCCTTTCACTAACACCCCATCTGTTCCTGCCAAGTTACATCTTTTTCACTTTCCTTTTACAGCTTGGAGTAATAGGACTTTGACAACCCTGTAATACTTTCAAAGCTTCCTTTTATTAAAAAGAGCAGTTGCCAGGTTAGACCTCCAGAGGGCCACAGTTCTGCTAGAATTTAGTGATTTTCATTATTTTCTTCAGTATCATTGTTACCCTTTTTACCTTCATTATCTTGAGTTGTCATTCACGGTAGCCATATAAACCTTCCCTTTGAATAACTGCATTTGAGTACAAAATGTCAGTCCTTCAAAAAATAATATCATCATCAGGTAAAGATAGATATAGTAAAAAAAACAGATGATTTTCTAATAATTAGAGTTTAGGTAAACTGGTACAGGTAAAGGAGGGCAGGCACTGGACTCTGAGTGACTCAGATTGGACTCTCAGTCCCACCTTTAACTAACTGCACCCTCGGCAGGGAACTGATTTCTCTGAGCCTTAGTGTTCTTGTCTGTGAAGTGGGGTTGGAAGTTTCTGCCTGTGAAGGAAATTGGTAGCTATGAGACGGGAGAAAGGCTTAGTGTTTCTGCAAACCCCGTGCCGTGTGATACAATTAGTATACTTTACCTAAAAGTATTCTCTAAATCAGTAGCGAATCTCATACAATATAACATTTTCCTCTATGAATGAATTATGACTAAGTTGTAGTGCAGACATGATGCATGATTAGGAATGACCTTTGAATAGCCTCGCCTTTGGTTTTCAACCTCTGAGGACCAGTGTTTTAACCTTGGCTCTGTGCAATGAATGAGAAACTGACCTAAATTATCTCTCCCAAGTCATTAGAAAGATCTCTCTTAAATGTTTTGTGTTTGTTTTTACATATTTGCTGAAGAATATCCAGATTGTTATAATTAAATGAGAAATGATTATTTGGCATAAAGGTTTTATCTGAAATAGTCTACTGTATCAAAAAAAAAAGTAAAATTAAAGAATTCTTAGATTTTTTTACTAACCATTTTCACTATTATCTCTTGTTTCAGTCTCTGTCCCCATCTTTACTCAAGAGCATACATTAATTTCAGAAATCCCGATGACATCCTTCCCTTTAGAGATCGTTTTGATGGATATGTCTTCATTGACAGTAAAGGTTGGGTCTTAGGCATTTTAAACTATTACAATCTTGAAGTACATTAAGTTTCAATGGAGTGTTTGTGAGTTTTGATCTAGAGGTTCTGAGATACAAATTGAAAATAATGTTCATAAAATTTGATTGTTACTTTAAGTGTGCTTATATTAAAAGTTAAAATTATATGTATACCAAAGAATTCCAGCAATGCTGTGTAATGGTGACAACCTGTTTATGTACTATCATCACAGAGTGAAATTTTTCATGTAAATTAGTTTTCTGGATAAGGGAACTTGACATTTTTATGTCCCCAAATTACATTATTTTAATCATGATAGAAATTTCCTAAAATACATTTTTTACTTACCCCTGTGTCTCCCTAAACAGAGAGTAAATACTCTTCATAATCATACCATTTCTGGATGATGTTGTGGGTGGAGGGGATGTAATGACATCAGTTTGGACCCTGTTGAACAGCATTGCCTGCTTAGACAGGATATTTAATATTTACCTCTATTCTGAATGTATAACCCTCTGCTTTTGGGCTCGGCTTTTGGTATGTTTTCTTTGTCCTCCTTTCCACTCCACCCCGTCTCCTTCACTGAGAGGTGACAAACTAGAAAAGATCAAAGAGTGAGAAGGCTAAGGCCAAGAGACGTTTCCTGTGAGTAAATGAAAATTTAATGCTTGAACTGTTTGACATTTGTGTTGAATGCTAATTTTTGTAGTAATACATTCAAGTGGACGTTTTCCTTATTACAAATTGTGGTGAGATACACATAACGTAAATTTACCATCTTAGTCCTGTTTTAAGTGTACAGTTCAGTGGTGTTGAGTATATTCACATTATTGTGCAACCATCCCCACAACTCATCTTACAGAGCTGATCTCGGCACTCATTAAATAGCATCTCCCCGTGTCTCCTTCTGCCTGGCAACCACCTTCTACTTTCTGTCTCTGAATTTGACCACTCTAGGTACTGCATATAAGTGGAATCACACAGTATGTGTCTTTTTGTGACTGGCTAATTTCACTTAGAATACTTTCCTCAGGGTTCACCATGTTGTAGCCTGTGTCAGAATTTCCTTCCTTGTTAATACCTATTGCATGTATACACCACACTTTGTTTACCCATTCACCTATCAGAGAACACTTGGGATGGCTTACAGCTCTTTGCTGCTGTGAATAGCACTGCTTTGAACATGGGTGTGCAAATATCTCTTCGGGGTCCTGTTTCGAGTCTTGGATATACACCCAGTGTGTTGGTAAGATCATATAGTAATTCAGTTTTTAATTTTTTGAGAAACCACCATACTGTTTTCCATAGAGACTGCGTCATTTTGTATTGTTGACATTTTATATATTGCACAGGGTTCCAGTTTCTTCACATCCTTGTCAACACTTGTTATTTTCTGTTTTTTTTGGGTAGCAGATATCCTAATGGGAGTACAGCAGTATCTCATGTGGCTTTGATTTGCATTTCCCTTAATGATCATTGATGATGAGCATCTTCCCATGTGCATTTCGGCACTCGTATGTCTTCTTTGGAGAACTATCCAAGTTCTTTGGCCATTTTTAAATGATTTTTGTTGTTGTTGAGCTGACTTTATATTATGCATATTAATCCTTTGTCAGCTGTGTGACCTTCTCCCATTCTGTAGGTTGCCTTCACACCCTGACCACGCCCTAGGTGCCCAGGTGTGTCCATGTATCCAGTTTACTTGTTTTTACTTGAGTTGCCTGTGCTTTTGGCATCTTGTCCAAGTAATCATTGTCAAGTCCAATGTCAAGCTTTTCTTCCACATTTTCTTCCAGGATTTTTTTTTTTTTTTTT